GAGCCCCCAGTGCCCCCCCTCCCAGGCATCCCCCTGTCCCCCTCTCACTGACACCACCTCTCCTGCCCTTTCCCTCATCGTCTGCACTTGACCCCCGGCATTTGTCTCTTGGTGCCTTTCCCCTTTCCTCCCCCTCCCGCTGCACAAGCCCCTTCCCTATGTTCCGCGTTGCGAGGCCTGAGTCTGCACTCAGGCCCCGCAGTCTGAACCCAGAGGCAGCCACGCGGCCTGCCTCCGAGCACTTTGAAAATCCCAGGCATGACGTCACGTCATGTCCAGGCCCCGCCCACCTGCTACGCCGTGCATGATCAGCAGCAGGCGGCGAGGGGAAGCCGCCCAGAGCCACGGACGGGACAGGACAGGACGGTCCGGGGCTGGGGGACTGGCGGGGGGACCGGGTCCCGCTCCGGGCAGAGCCAGGGGAGAGACCCAGCTCTGAATTGTAACACCGGCCAGCACTTCTGGGTTCAGGGGCGCGGGGCCTCCTTAGGTGCGGGGCCTGATTCGGCCGAATCGGCCTAAGGCCGGCCCTGCATTCAGGAATTTGAAATATAGAGGCAGAGGACTTATGTTGGGTATTACTCGGTGGAGGAATGTGTACATAGAGAGAAACACCAGCAGAAAAGCCAAGGACTCAGGCCAGGCATTGGGAATGAAGCTCTGAAAAAAGCTGAGCGCGCTTTTGGGCTAAATGAAAGAAGAGGTTTGATACTGTAAGAAAGGGAGCTATTTCTTCTTGTTTGAGTCCAGCTGTGTTCAGGGAAATGGGACTTTACAAAGAAACAAATAAAAGGCAGAGAGAAAATTAGCAGGAGTTCGTTTTCATTAATAGGTCCAAGATATGGAGGACATTTTAGTCATTAAGGTTCTGGTTTTTGCCCTCCAAGTTAGTACTTCTGAGCATCAGGTCTCGGAGAAGAAAACCCCAGTTTTGACTTCATTGTCTTCATAATTTGCTGTAATTCTGATATTTTTGACAGCATTTGAAATCTTAGCATTTTGTCTTCTAGTTTTATTTTCAAAGGGTGCATACTGCCTTTGATATGCATAGTGTCAGCAGATGAGGTAACTTTTTCCATCCTCCTGAGACTTGTTTTACCAGCAAGTCTGTCAACAGTAAGTTTTCCAAATTCTACTCAACTCTAAGAATTGTAAAGTTGCCCCCATTTTGGATCCAGTGTGCTTAGGTTTCCCTTTCTTCTTTTTCTTTGAAGCCTCAGTAATAGCGAAAAGTTTAGAATTTAGACATAATTGTTAAGTTAAAGGTTTTACACAATATACATTCAAAAAGTGGAGGTTGGCATGACATCTGCTTTGTGTAAATGAGAGGCAGACAAAAACAGTGTCATATCCTGCCAGTAAGCTAAACACATTCAAACAACAACTTGATTCATTCACTTTCAATATTAACATTTTAAAACCCCACAATAATCAATTTACTGTTTTTTCTCTCTGGCTTTCAAGGAGATAAATTGGAAGGACTTGAGTGAAGATTCCGCCAAGGGTTTAAATTATGATTTATTTTATTTTCACTATTGTTGATATATTTATTGGAGTCTGTCTAGTTAAAGATCTATTATGAGATCTTCCCAGATCCTGGGATGGGCACTCTTTGGTTACAGATGGTATAAACAAATACATTTAAGCAACCCCAAGATGGAGACATTAAAGACATTTGAGGACACTACAGTGTAGGCACCTAGAGAGCTGTAGAAAAGATCCATCCTTCTGTGAGCATGTCATTGTGTGATAGGAAAAGCAGATACAGGAAGCCTAATTTTTGTCAGTCACTTTGGTATTTTCCAATGAAACGCCTTGTGTATGCTCAAAAATTTATCAGTTACATTACATATATATATATATAATTACCTCTGTCTTTGTAGGAATGCAGGCAGTATAAGAAATAATAAAATATAATGTTATCCAAGGCGAATTGGGAGAGTTTCAGCATGACTATTTTCAATGTAAATTATCTTTAATTGATTTTCGCTTACAGCTCAGCTTCATTAATATATGCAATCAATAATAATGATTACCATAGTGACCTTACAAGTCTTATCAAACTGATTATGTTTTATATTTCTTTCTTTACATAGGTATTTATTCAGGTTCTCAGAACATACCTCTCTGATTTTTACCTTAAAAAGAAGATCGCTGAAGATTTGTACCAGAATATTAGTTTGACTCAAGAAACTGTAAGTGTCTCCATTGTTTAATGTTTCATCCAACAGAAACTAAAAGTGAATGCAAGGAGTTTGTGAAAGTTCAGCAACATGCCCTGCTGTATTGATCCTTTTTACATAGAATAATGTCATTTGTAGTTTATTTCCAACTTCCTTCTTTTTTTGGTGTCAGAAGAGGGGCAAAATGAATGGAAAGAAGTGATTGCTGAACAGAATTATCCATAACTTGCAGCTGAATGTCTATCTGTCTATCAAAAAATAGCAATTACTACTGTCCTATCTCCAGTCTAGTAGGAGAAAAGCCTTTTTCACAGTTTAGTCCCATCAGGAAAACAGCGTTTTCTAGATCTCAGCCAGTGGCTCAATAGAAAGAACGATCTCTAGGTGTAAATTCATTATTTGGGCCCACCTATTATTGTCAATAACATAGTAGGTGGTGCAGTATCTGAAGGAAATTCTAAGTTGTTATCAAGAAAATGTACCTATTTTTCTCTCTGTGCAATTATTTTCCTACCATATACTTTATGAAACTCCCATTTCTGGGATTGAGGCTTTTCACACTACACGCTTACAGTTAATGTACATTGCTGAAAGCTGCTCTTAGTCACAGTTTGGATCACATTATGTTTGTGAGATGAACAGAGGAGAAAAAATGGTACAGCACTATGAATAAACCGCTGAGAGGTTACCAGCTGTGTCTCACTGTTTAAAAAAAAAGAAAGAGGCAGTTAGTCTTTGATTTAAAATCTGTCATGTTATGTCAGCACTGGTCTTCAGGGATTTAGATTGATCATGCAATCTCAGTCAATGGATTAACGTTGGAGGTCCCTATCATTTTATTTGACATAGCTTATGTCTCCATTTTTAACAGCACTTCACTGCCTTTGATCTTCAAATTTAATATTAAAGTTAATCATATTGAGAAAGAAAAGTGATTCAAGGAATAAATCCTTATTTCAGAAGCAGATTCAGGATACTGACAAACTTTAGACAAATTGCAGAGTAGGCAACTTCTATAATGTCTCCTAACCTTTGGTGAGTGATGTTTGAAAGCACTTTTCTCTCCATTCATCTAACTGAACTATTGTAAGACATGCCAAGAGTTAAATATTGCTTTTATGTCAGGTGTTCAGTACAGGTTGGCTGAGCTTGGGGATGAAGGACAGTCCAGTGGTTAGGATACTAGCCTTGAATTTAGCTGATCGGCGTTCAGTTCCCTGCTCTATCCCATATACTGCAGTCAAAAGCTGACAGAGCTAAGGGGCTATTTAACTGCATATTGTAGCTGTTTGGACTCAGGTGGGTGTGCAGGCTCTAGGACCAGGGGTGGGAAACCTCAGGCTTGCCTGAATCCAGACAGAGGCTCAGGACTCCAGCCCCTCTGCCATTCGCCCACGGGCCTGGAGCACACAAAATCTACTAGTCTGGGTCCCTGCAAGCCTTAGGCTCAGGTGTGTGAGGGGAATGTCAGTCAGGGACCACATGAGTGAGGGCTTGGGGCTTTATTTTGGTTTAGATGGTTTGTTTTTTTTCTGTATCAGTATCTACCAACTCATGTTGTATTAATGTGTTATATAATATATAATATATATTATAACACATTAATACAACGTGAGTTGGTAGATACTGATACAGATACACTCCCTCTTAGGGGTGTCTTCTTTTTTGAAAGTTTAGGTATGGTAACCCTAACTCAGGCTCAGACCTTCCACTTCTGTGGGGTCATGGGATCCCTGGTTAGCATGATTTTTGTTTGTTTATTTGTTTTGTGCTGTAAATGAAAGAGGGTTAGATTTGAGTCTGAGTTAGAACCCTGGACTTAAATTGCAGTGTAGACATTTCCTTGCTCTTGCCCTGTGCCAGATCCCTAGCTTTAAAATGGGAACAATAATCTCAATGCAAATAAAAAGCATGAGGTTATAAATTGTGTAATTATTGTTTCCTCACCCACTGATCTGGTGTTCCTCCACAAAATACTTAGCATTTGTCAAAATGAAAGCCAAAATTAAAAATGAAAGCCAAAATCCTATTTCCTAAATATATAGCAATGGTATTCCATAAAATTCAGAAGTTGTAGTCAAAAGAGAAAATTTCACAAGAAATTCCCATTTTGCTGAAAAGCAGTTTTTTATTCAGAATGTTTCCAAACTCACTCTACTTCCAACTGGACACTTCTGTAGTTCAGAAAAATCACAAATCACAGCTGGCTCCATTATTTTCCTAATGTATTACACAGGAATATATAAATCTACCCAGGTTATAACCTACACTGTTGCTTTGCTCAGCTCCTCTACAAAATGATCCTGAGGGGCTTTGATTTAATAACATCTAGAGAACTTCCAGCTCTGGGGCTATCAACCCAGCACATTTCAGAAGCAGTAACTCACATGGGGATAATTTTTTTTCCCAACACAGAGCTCCCATTAGGCACCTAAAAAAACAGGGTCTGATTTTTCAAAAGTTCCTGTTATGGCATTAATGACCAGATTTTTTCTAAAGAGATCAGTGTCTAACATGCTGAGCCTTTTTTGAAAAAGAATCTAGCCACTTTAATTCAGTGGCTGCATGGGAACTGAGCTCTTGACAACCTGACCTGTAATATTTTAGAGGTTACAAACATTGAGTTGTGGCATCACTGAAGACTAATCCTAATGGACCATGTTTGCATAAGGGAAAATCACTTTGGCAAGAAGCAATACGTCTAGTATTAGCAGAAGTATTACATTGAATATTATATTTAATCTTGCATTGGGAGGCAGTGGACAAGATGCCTTTCTGTAATAAGCATTTTTTCTCTCTTCATTCGCTGATTCTACATGAAAGCTTAATGGAATTTTGATGATAGAACATTTTTAAGAGTCACTAAAATGTGTTCACAGTTCTTTAAGACGTAAGATATGAATGTAATTCTTTGAGAAACAAAATCATGTGGTAGAAAAAGGCTTGAGAAAAAAGGCATCTTTTGGAAAGTGAAGAAATATGCATCTTGGTGCTAACTCATGGAATAAGGATGAAGGTTTTATTAAATCTGTTTATTAATTCTATTGAGAAGACATTATTTCATTTATTAATTTAAAGTAATGGCTTACAAACATTAAAAGTCAGTATTTCCAAGTGGCCTATAAAAATGCAGCCTTAGGTTTTGCAGGTGCATCTCTGTATGCATGCACACACATATGCATGTATGTGTAACTATGTGCATGTGTGCGTGCACATGTGTATATACATGTGTGTGTAAATGCACATACATTACTAATTACTTACATTTGCATGCATGGATCTAGTAGTTATACTGCTACTATCCCCCCAAACACAGAATATGCATTTTAAGGGGACAGTTAAAGACAGGGAGCCAAAATTGCAATCTTATTGAAAATACTTGTGGGTTCACTAAAAGGGTTAAAAATATGTAACTTGAGTCAGTAGTTAGTGGTGTCTATAGTCAGTGGAAATGAGCAGCAGGCTTGATTGTGGTCTCACACCTGTTTACATTGTGTTAAATGGATTTATACTGGAGTAAAATAACTGTAGATCAGGGCTGACTTTATGCCTAATGTCTGATGTTTTCTCTACTTAACTTCAGGCATGGCAATACATAGAAATAAGATTTCTTGAACAAGTTTGTTGATTTTACTTGCATGAAGAATCATGGGCAAAACTCAAATTCTCTAATAAATTAGGACTTTTTAACTAGAAGCAAAATGCAAGTATTATTTTCCAAACAATACTATTTTGAAGAGGAAGCCTGCATTTAGTCAAGACAAAGCAAGCTATTTTCATGTGTAACAAGTTTTTTATTTTTCCAGGATTTGGAAGAGTTACAGAAACAACTTACCTCCAGACTTCTGAGTACCGAAATGTCGGGTGCTCGTAATTCAGAGTACCAGACCTTGGAAGATTTAGAAAGGAAAGAGAGGGAATATTCGGAACATATACTAGATAATGTACCTATATCATTTTATATCATCTCTGTTTTCTAAATTAACATTGTTCTGTTGATGAAACAGGGTTTTTTGTGGTAACTAGTCCAAGATCAGTATTTTAGAAGTCCACTGATCCAGAAAGTACACGTACATTAGTGTCTTTCTTTTCCGAACATTGGTTCTCGCACAATATATTAGGGATGCTAAATATTGGTTAATGAAATTGTCCATTAACCTCATAAATTTGTATCGGTTAATCGACTACTCTATAGTCCCCAGGGGTGGGCTGGCAGCCAGTGTGCTCCGACCCCACTCCCAAGGAGCCCCCTGCCACTCTGGGCTTCTGCCTCTGTATCTGAGGCAGCAGCACGGGGTACCAGGTGGGAGCTGGTCCACAAGGGGAACCAGTTTAAAAACCAGCCTCTCTTGTGGACCAACTGCCTGTTGCCCAATGCTGCTGCCTCTGATACAGAGGCAGCAGTGTAGGATGGCTGCAGTCCCTGTCCAAAGAGGGGGGCTGAGCTCCTGGACCTGGCATAAACCAGAACTGAGCCAGGCTGCCTGCCCACCTGGCTCCTAATACACTTTAAATGCAGAACCACAATGGGAGTAGGTCCCAGACCCGGCACAAGCCAGGACTGAACTGGGCTGCTGGCCAGCATGCTAAAAAATTTACTGACAGGGGTGGGGGGAAATGCATGTAGTCTATAGCATTAACCTATAAGGTTTTTCTTATGGGTTAATCAACTACACTATTACATCCCTACAATATATAGAGATATCAACTACTTATTACTTTGTTGGACTAGTAAAATATTTCAAGCCCTTGTATAGTATGAACTGTTGGACCTGATCACATTCTCATTACTACATAATCTTACTTTCTTCTCCAAACCTTAATTTAAATATGATTTTACTAGATGATTTACCCAGCGTTGCTTGGATCCTTGTTCTGTGGTGGGGCTGAGGTTGAGGTGTTCAGTATGCAGACTGCTGTGGGGAAAGAGGATAACTCTAGCCCTCTCTCACTGCAGCAGCTTGAGACCAGGTGAGAAGTGCCTCTCCATGGCCACTGCAGCAGGCACAGCTCAAGGAGAGATGCTTGTCCCCTGGCTGGGGGGACAGAGACACAGATAGACACACAGACAAGCTCTCTGAAATATACAACAGATAGCTGTCTCTAGCGCCACTCTGCCCCCTGCTGGCCAAATGGGGTTATAGCTGTCCTAGTCATCATCTCGGGTCCTTTGCTGTCCCCCTGTAGTCATTTAGCAGTATGATGGTCCCTCTTGCCAGATCGCTTCCTTTCCATTTTATGAGAAACAGTTTAATTCCAGGCACATCCCATTGTCCGAGCACAACTAAAGCCTGACCTTGCTTTAAGTTATATGAAGAAATTGCATACCAAATTTGATGGTCCTGTGTCTTACCATTTAGGAGGAATTCTTGAACAAATGGACTCAGACAGAAATGTGAGTTTCTGAGCAAAATATATAATAAGATGATCTCATATCTTTTGAGCTACCAGGGGTCCGTCTACACAGCAGGGCAAAAGTCAAATTAAGATATGCAACTTCAGTTACATCAGTTGCATAGCTGAAGTCGAAATAGCTTAATTCAGCTTTTGTTGCTGTCTACACAACAGAAAGTCGAGAACACTCTTCCTTTGACTGCTATTACTCCTCATGAAATGAGGGTTACAGGAGTCAGAGTAAGAAGTCCTCCAACTCAACATTATTTTGAAATAATGGCTTGCTGTGTAGACACGCTCATTGTTTTTTTGGATAATGTTAGTTATTCCAACCTAATGCTGCTGTGTAGACGTACCGTAAGAGAATTGGTTATATATCTTGAAAGTTTACTGTTTCACTTTATGCAAAAGATATTTCAGTAAACAATGGCAATGCAATGAAGGCCATGAGGGCAGGGGACTGGACTCAATGACCTCTTAAGGTCCCTTCCAGTTCTATGAGTTAGGAATTTGGCCTGTAATATTTTGCCTTACATCTGAGGCTCACTTGTAGTGTGTAAAGTATGTACCCTTAATAGAAAAACTTTTTCAGTTGATATATAATTACAGTGTTACTAACACCTCAGTAACTCTTCTGGCTACGCTGCTTTGTGCAGTGTAACACATTTAAAGTGCTTTTAAATGCAAAAATATAATTTGACTGTTGACATTTGATCCTCCTGAAATGATAATTTTTCAGTTCAGTAGCACCGCTGTGTCAAAACTAATTCCTAAGCCAGGAAACCTGGAGGTGGAAAAACATCCTATTTATTTAGTCTGCTGGAAAATAAGAGGAGAACCTCTCAGACTGTCTCCCCCCCCCCCTTTTTTTTCCAGCATTTGAGTTAATTTAGTGTTCATGAGTATGAAAGACCTGTCATACGGGCTGGCTATATATAAAGTTCCCACACTGATTTGCCAGTGCATTTCACTCCTGACTTGAACAGCCCATCTATGCCAGCCCTGGGCCTCTGTAACAAAGAAACTGACAGTCATTCCGACATGTCTGGTACTTTGTGAAATGTGCTAGCATGAACTTCTATGATTTTCTATTTAATCTCTGCTCTTTTTATTTGATAGCAAGTGTCCAGCTGATAGTGGTAGAAGCATGTGACATTTCTTGAGAGCCCATAAAAGTAAATTCTTTAAATAAGTTATTGGTTAATATTCTACAGAATTAGTCATGTGTGAAACTGATTTTATTACTGTCATGTAGCCTGGCTTAGCTCCACAAGGGACAACATTAGCTGATGTAAATTGTCATTTAATGGAGTTATAATCATTTACATCAGATGGGGATCTGCCCCAACGTATGGAGTTACTCATCTCCTCATAATTACTATGCTATGGAAAGATTCTCATTGACTTCAGTCCCAGCTAGATCAGGTCCATGAAGAGCTTTTTTCTTCCCTCAGTGCAGTTTCGTTTCTCCTTTCCTCACCATACACAGAAGAATGGTACCTTCAAAAAAGCACCTAGAATTTCCAAGTACAATTCTTGCCTGTTTTGGAAGAGAGTTAGTAGCACAAGTCTCATTGAAAGTCAAGAGCCATTCACTATTCACAATCTCCCCCTTAATTATTATTACCATTACTGAGAAATATGTATGATGATAACACCTAGAGGTCCCAGTCAAGATGGGGGCACCTTGTGATGCAGTAATATAAAACCATTAAATGGATGGATACTGCAAGATCCAGGCTCCTGTCGTGGAGAGCTTACAATATAAGGCCCCAATTGTACAGATGTACAAATGCTTAGCTTTATATATGTAAGTGGTCCCATTGAAGCCAATGGAATGACTCATGTGTATAGAATTAAGCTTGAACATGAGTTCTACAGAATCAGAACCTAAAGCTGGTTATCTGTAGGTGGACCATATAACTTCCTAAACCACATTATATGCTGATAATTTCTGAGATGCTAATATAATGTTTACAAACTAAGCAGCTACCAAAACCTCAGCTGGTGAAAACTTTGGAGTTTTAAACTAAAATGTTGCTAGACATGCACAACATTGTTAGTAAAAACTTCAAAAACAACAAAAGGTCTGGTAGTACTTTATAGACTAACAAAACATGTAGATGGTATCATGAGCTTTCGTGGGCACAGCCCACTTCTTCAGACTCTGGTCATCTGAAGAAGTGGGCTGTGCCCATGAAAGCTCATGATACCATCTACAGTACATGTTTTGTGAGTCTATAAAGTGCTACCAGACCTTTTGTTGTTTGTTAAGTTTATCCTGTACAGTCTAGCTTGGCTACCCTCTGAAGATTGTTAGAAAAGTAACTTGTTAGAAAGTGAGGACAGGTTATTAGCCTTTTTTCTGTCTCCAGTACTAATTAGCTTGTCTGAGCCCACTCCCACAGAGGGTAGGAAGGGACACCACCTAGCTTCTTGTAGCTGCAGCTTCATACCCAACCTCAGCCCCGTCCACAGCCTTAGCCCTTGGCCACAGCCCTGCTCCTGGCCCCAGACCTGTCCCCAGCTTCAGGTCCAGCCTTGGCCCTTTACCTCTGTCCATGTCTGCCATGTTCTTGCTCCCAGCCCTCGCTACGAGGTGGGGGGAGGGAGGGCAGTGACCCTGAAAAGTCTGGGGGTCTATTGAATTAGCCTGTTTTAGTGTGTTGTATGTGGAGAGTTTTTTTAAATGTCAATCATAAAATTATATACACTAACCTCCTCTTATTCTGAAGAGTCAAAATAAGCCAACAGGTACCATATGTGGTATCTAACATTTCAAAAGTGTGAGTTCCCATGTTTCAAAATAAATTTTCATGAAATGGTTTTGCTAAATGGTAACTTTGTAATGGCTTTATCTTGAATTACAATGATTTGCTGCCTTTAGTAGAGCATCTTTGTGTTGTAGGGTAATTAACTTTGCAGGTTTATAAACAGTATGATTTTTTTTAAAAAGGCGGAAATAGTTGACGTGTTTTAATTCTCACTCTGCAGATGGAAGCATTCTGGAAACAGGCAGACAAAGCTGAGCAATTTCTCCTGAACCAATCAAATTGCTCAAGTGCCAAAAGAGGAAAGATAATGATGAATCTGACTGAGAGAATGATTGCAGTAGAAGGGTTATTAAGCCAGTCTCAGGATTTGCAGGCAATGGTAAAGTACAAGAAGAGAGAAAGCTGAAGAGACACACAGTCAGTCCTAACTCAAAGCATGATGCGAATGTACAATGTTTATATCAGAGTTTATGACTTAGGTAGACAACTTACTAACTGTGACCTGTTTACTTTGAACTGTTATTAGGAGACTAGCTTTCTTGGTAGTTTGTAAAAACTCTTCAGTGAGTGACCTCTCATCACTTTGATTCTGGCTCTGCCAGATTTTAACGTGTGCAGTGAGCACACAGCAAGAACAATGCTTCCCTTTCCTAACAGGAAAGGGAAAAATTGATCTGAGCACTGAAATATCTTTTTAAAGTGTATTTATTCTACCATGCCTGATGGCCATACTTCAAATTAAGAAGGGTTCTGTCTTGAGTGCTCTCCTGTTTTAATTTGGAAGATGCTGAACAACTCCTAGTAACCTGGACTTGAGAGATGAAGCAATAACATTTACAAGCGTATTCATTTTAATGCAACAAAAAGCACCTACAGTTACACATAATTAACATGTCAGTGGGCCAGATCCTTCTTAGTTACAAGGGGTATTCATTTGGGGTAACTCCACGGATGTGATTGGAATTATTTTAGATTTACAGAAAAATAAATTAGATTTGAATCTAGCCCACAATGGCCATTGAATGCATTTTTTACCTGTACAACATTTAGTGGTTAGTAGCTAATGATTTATGATTGTGTAATATAGGATTCAAGTAAAACAAATGATCCACATTGGCAAATAATTAGAGTAGATTAGATTATCTCACTGCACCATGGTTCACTGGGCTTCCATACATGGGCTTTCCTCACTTGTGCCTCGTTCAATATGAAGTGTACATTCTATGTATTATTTCTTATTTTGGACCCAACATTTACTAAGTTTTTCCTACTTACGTAACCTTCATGGGCCTTCTAGCTGTTTGGAGAAGGGCCACCTTCTCCTTTAGTTTCAGTATCTGCTAATGGTCACCCTGTCATGCATCTGGAGAGGCTCACGACCACAAGTGCCTGCATTAGCGTAGTCTGTCAAAAACAGGACAGACATTCCTTATTCCTAGTGTTTTATATAATTAGATTTCATCAACTCTGTAACAAATATGAACTCCTGTATCACTATAGCAGTTTTACCACAGAGTCACAGATAATCCCCACAAAGTTCCCAATTTATCTTGCCATCCAGGCAAGCTGGACTTAGTGATTCAGTCCATTATGCCAAAAATCACACAATATTCACATTGCTTCCAGACTGAAGAGAGCAGTTACTTACTCCTGATCAATTTGTATCTTAGACCGTACACCAAAGACAACACCTGTAGCCAATCCTGTAATAACTATGTAAAGGTTTATTAACTAGGTAAAAAGAAAGGTTAAAGCTAGTAAACATATACACAAAGGAACCATCCATGATTCCTAAAGATGACAGATATGGTAATCTGTCAATTCAAAATATCCCCAGGAGAGACCGAGGGATTGCCCTTGAGGATCTCTGTGTTCATTTAATGGCTCTGGCACTGTGAGAGTCAAACAACAAAGAGATGACAAATTTTGTCCTTCCTGCCCATGAGATGAGCTTCCTTGATGGTAGCATTTCTAAGGTGTAATAGGGCCATTCACAATCCTTTGTACTTGTGATGTTTCTCAATGGCCCATTTCATCTTGATAGGCCTGCTTTATAGGGGGCAGAAAGATAGAGAATTCCCATACCTGGGTTCTCCATTCATCTGAAGAAGTGAAAGAAGAAGTGAAAGAAGAATTATAGTCCATGAAAGCCCAATAATGGTGTCAGCAGAGTGAATATGTGGACAAAGCTGGCAGCGGCGTTTGTTGCAAGGGAAAGTACCAGGGTTGATATTAGTGTGGTATGTCCTGTGGTTGTTGGTAAGAATCATCTTGAGGTTGGGTGGTTGTCTATAGGAGACTATGGGTCTGTCTCCCAGAGCTTCCTGGAGTTTAGTGTCCTGTTCCAGTATAGGCTTCCCCACCTCTAATATCATTAACTCACTGGCATTCACCTTCCTTCCCCTCCCTCCCCCCCGCTGCATCCCCCTTCTGTTCTGAAATGTGATTTGTCCTTTTCATATGTGTTCATTTTTTTTAACTTGTATCCTTTGGTATATATGGTTGTGACTATTTTCTTCCACTATTTGATCTGAGGAAGTGGGTCTGGCCCATGAAAGCTCATGATCTAATAAACCATCTTGTTAGTCTTTAAAGTGCTACATTGTCCTGTATTTTGTTTTTTTAAGGTTTTTGAAGGTAAGACTAACAAGGCTACCCCTCTGAAAAGTTCAGAGCAAACACTTTTAAACTTATAGGGTGCGTCTAGACTGGCATGATTTTGTGCAAAAATGATTGCTTTTGAGCAAAATCTGGCCGCCTGTTTACACTGGCCGCGAGTATTTGCGCAAGAACACTGACTTTGTAATGTACAAAATCAGTGGTTCTTGCGCAATACTCTGACGCTCAAGTATTCTTCCATGTTAATTTCTTGCGCAAGAAAGCCCGATGGCTAACATGGCCATCAGAGCTTTCTTGCGCAAGAGAGTGTCTACATTGGCACGGATGCTTTTGCGCAAAAGCACATGTCAGTATAGACGCTTTCTCGCGCAAATACTTTTAACGGAAACACTTTTCCATTAAAAGTATTTGCGCAAAATCATGCCAGTCTAGACACAGCCATAAAGCAAAGCATAAATATTTCCTTGTAGCACTGAATACAACCGTTACAAGTAAAATTAATACTTACAAGCATATCACAGAGTCTAATCACTAATTACAGTCTTTTGCCTCTGTTGAGCAAAACTAACATAACAGTTAAGCTCAGGGCTGGATTACCCAATAGGCAGACTAAGCACATGGTTAGGCACCAGCAAAGCAGGGGCACCAAAAAAAAAAAGGGAGATTTTACGGTATAGTATTGTTTTTATTTTGATTTACATATGGGGGGCACCATAATCTTTTCAGTGCTTAGGGCCTCTAAAGGTCTTAATCCGGCCCTGGTTGAGCTGGTTTGGTTTCCAGCTATAAGTTTGTCAGCTCTTAAGAAATGCCTCCTGCCTTGACTAGAGCTGGCACTTGGTTTCCCAGCCTCATGCACCCTCTCCATTTTAAGCCATTGTATGAACCATTTGCCTAAAGAGCAAGATTTCTTAGATGGGCTATGAACCTGGGTTTCCTGTGCCATAGTGTAATGTCAGCTGACAGTCTGTAATGGCTTTTATTTGTCAATACATTTACTGAGCTACACAGTTTTATATACATTCAGTAATCTCAGTGTACTGGGATTCACTGTACAATGGTATTATAGTCCTAGAGCAATGTTCATTCTTTAAATGAAAGCTGACCAGCTTGGCAGTATTGTAGAAAAAAAAATATTTATGGCTTGTCCTTTTGCTCCATCTAGTGAATCTTTTCACCTTCAACATCAGTCAGTGCTTAACATTGAAATGTGTGATGCTAATTTATTATTGACATTGCTTCATTAATTTTAGATTTAATTTCATTCCTTAAGGAGCCAGCAAGCACTGGATGGAAAATGTAGACCGCTTTGCTTGACTCCATCTAGGATGCGAGTGCACACACAATCAAATGAATGGTTCACTGGAGTATACTTTGTTTAGTGTCACTGGTTTTGTCTGTTGCATCATTCAGTATTGATTGGGTTAATGAAGGCCTCAGCATATTGCAGAGATTCAGTACTGATGTTTTTATATTGTATTTTTGTTTTCTTTTCAGGATATTCAGGAAAGAATATTTAATTGGGAGCTAATGGCAAAAAAGGTCGATTTTTTGAAGACAAAGATACAAGTAGAAAGTAAATGTAGACTAGATGCTGTAGCTGGCATTTTGGACCAGTTAGCTATAAAGAGCAACCTCTCTGTTGCACAGAAGGAGGAGCTATTAACAGGCCTGCACAAGGCCTTCTGGGACCAAGTAGCACATTGCAATAATGGTATGTTTTAAACAGTTATTTTGGACCTTCATCTTTAAAATTCATTGACCTACAAGCTTCATTTTGTTATTAACTTGTCTCACTTTGCCATAACAGTAGATGAAATTTCATTCTTTAAAAGTATGCTAATGGACAAACAAGGAATGTTGGCCCACCCAGATGCTCAAAGGAATGGAAATGAGGAGCCTAAATACTGTGGAGGCTCTGGACTGCTGTTCTTGGGGGATGGGAGGGGGCATATGCTCTGGAGAAGGGTGTAAACCCAGTGGTTTTAAAAGTTTTTTTTTCTCATGACCCAGTTGAAGAAAATAGTGTGATGCCTGTCACCCAATATAGTTTGACTAGAGTGTGGGCTCCAGGGTGGGGCTGAGGATGAGAGCTTTGGGCTGTATGAGGGGGCTGGGGCAGGAGGGGTTTATCTTGAGCAGCTTCCAGTCCGCAGTGCAGCAGGGGTGCTAAGTCAGGCTTCCTACCTGTCCTGGCACTGCAGACCATGCTGCTCCCCAGAAGCAGCTAGCAGCAGGTTCCCAGCCAATGGGAGGGCGAAGCTAGTGCTCAGGACAAGGGCAGTGCACAGAGGCCTATACACTCTCCCCCCTCCTCACCAAGGAGCTGGGCCTACTGCTGGCTGCTTCTGGGGTGCAGCACATTCTGCGGTGCTAGGACAGCCACATAGCCTGCACTGGGTAAATTTTTATTAAAGACTTTCAGATGACTAGTCAGAGAATTTCTGTTCATCAGCAGCCCGAAGTTTATAATAAATTAGCTCTGGGCATGACTAATGTGCAGATTTGTATGTAATGTGCTGTTTTATCTCTTCACAGCAAGGAACGTAACATAGCTCAAACACCTTGGTAGGGCTGCAGCATTGCTGCCACAATAGAACATTAATGTACTGTATTAATCTTTAGTTTCATGAGTTTGGTGGAGGGTTAGTGAATTATGAAGGTATCTGTAGTACTTTTGAGGGGGTTGAATGAATATCAAATGAAAAGACAAAGGTGAGAGAGGGTTGTTTGTTTATAGTCACACAGGTGTGCATGTTCCACACACACACACAAGCTCTGGAGGGCAAACTCATCTGGAGCTGTGAAGGGTCCAAAATTAGACCCCAAATGTCTCAAGCTGGCACACAGAACTAAACAAAAAAAACAGTGTATACTGAAATCTTTCCCTTAAGATTTGTCCAAGATCCCACAAGAAGTCAGAGGTACAGCCAGGAATAGAACCCTGAAGTCCTAGTAGCCAGTCGGGTGCCCTATTCATTAGACAGTGGTGCCATCCCTACAATATAATATATTTATTTAAAAAATATAAATAGAATTGCTTGAATGCAAGCTTTTTTATCCATATTTAAATCATAAATGAAAGCTCATACACTTATTTTCCCCAAATTGTATATTTCTGTGTTGTAACATTCACATTTTCTGTTGCAGACTGTGTCCAACAAAGTAAAGACCTGATCATAAAACTCCTGGCATGTCGTGCAAGAAAGACAGAAGAGCTCAAAGAAGCTCATGAAAATCAACAAGGAGATCTCAGTAAAGCTCAGAAAATAAGGGATCTTGATGAGTTTCTGAAGGTGACTGTATAAAGATTGATATTCACAATCTGGTTTGTTTTAGGGCTCTGGTAACATTTTGTAAGGCTCTCTGTCCAATGGAACTGCCATCCTTTGTCCTTTGACACCGTCACAGTAGCCTAGGGCACAGGATGGGGAAAAGGCCTGTCTAGCTTTGTTCCAGAATACTAGAGTTGCTTGTTAAAGTTTTAAGCCCTCTTCAAGATTGGAACTTAGCCACCTCTTGCTTGCCTGGGCAGCTATTATGCTCCTAGCTCAAGTATAGATTTCCTGTGTGACCTGAGGCACATCACTTATGGTATGTTTCCACTACGGGGTGGATTGATGCTGCAGTGATTGATCCACCGGGGGTTGATTTAACAGGTCTAGTGAAAACCTGCTAAAATCAGCTGCCACTTAATCTCCCATTGATTCCAGTACTCCATAAGAACGAGCTGAGTAAGGAGAATCAACAGGAAAGTTTCTTCTCTTAACCGAGGATAGTGTGGATTCTGTGATATATTAATCTAAGCTATGTTGATTTGAGTTACACTAGTAACATAACAGATTGCATAGCTTAGATCAACTTGTCCTCAGTCTCTGTGGCTCAGATCCCCCTCATGTAATCCAGAGAGGATAATACTTATGATATGTTGTCTTTTTGGATTTTAAGTTTTTCAGGGCAGGAAATCTTTTATTTTGGATAGGTACAGCACATGGCCTGGCAGAGCATGTTTAGAGCTTCTTATGTGCTAATGTAACAGTACTAATAGGCTATGTCTACACTGGTAGATTATTGCGCAAGAACAGCCATTCTTCCGCAGAGCGTCCACACTGCCCGCCTGCTCTTGCACAAGAAGATTTACAGTACGACATCAGAGCAGAGGGCTTCTTGCACAAGAGCTATGCTCTTTTCTAACAGGTGTAAGCCCTCTTGCGCAGTAGCTCTTGCGCAAGAAGACAGTGTGGACATGCTGCAGGGGTTTCTTGCACAAGAAACCCCTATGGCTAACATGGCCATCAGAGCTTTCTTGCGCAAGAGAGCGTCCACACTGCCGTGGATACTCTTGCGCAAAAGAACATGGCGGTGTGGACGTGTTCTTTTACAAGAACTCTTGCGCAAGAACCCGCCAGTATAGACACAGTCATAACGAATAATAGAGCTGTGGTTGCTTCTTCCATCGCTGTGGTACTGCAGCAAGGGGGACTCTCATACTCTGTCCACAATCCAGAGAAAGTCCATGAAATGATGCCATAAAACTTCCACAGTCAGCAACACACAAAGGGAAGAAAAGGAGGCAGGGCTAAGAGTTGGCCTACACTATTGAGCCGTGGTGTCCAACATGCTAACTGCTAACCACATGTGGCTATTTGGTCAGTTGAGTGTGGCTAGTTGGCTTGAACATCGGGGCTACTTGACTAATTGAGTTTAGCTAATTCTCTATAGCAATAGCCACTCTGCTTCTGAACTGGTTGGACACCATGGCTATAAGGTTAGGTCAACATAAGGTAGCAGACGTCGATTTAATTATGTCAGTGCACACACTACAGCCTGGCTCTTGCTGATGAAAGTGCTGACATAATTAGACTTCTGCCTCTCTTGAAGGTGGAGTTATGTTGGTGTAGTTAGGGCAACACAGTGTCTATGTAGCGACTAAGGGTTACTGACATGGGCTGTTGGCTGTCATTCTTCTTAATTCCATGTTGGAACGAAAGCCCAGGGCAGGGGAGGAGACAAGGAGAGGACTCCAGCTAGAGGCCTGTTGCCCCTGGGCTCCCAATTTGGTGGCAACCAGGCTCTGGGCAGGAAGCAGGAAACCAGGAGCCTCCATGCAGCAAGTGGGGAGCTGGGAGCCTCTGTTCAGCCACTTAACTTCCTGTCGAGAGCTGGGAGCCTTGGTGCAACCTTTGCGTTCCTGCTGGGGAGCTGATAGCAGGGGAGGGAGGAAGCCGTGGTCCTGGCAAGGATCAAAGAGGTGCGGGGAGCCGAGAGCAAGGGGGCAGTCAGCAAACTACATGCTGAGCAGTGAACTACATGGTGAGCTGAGAGCTGGGACTCTTGAGTCCCTCACACTGCTCCTCTTAAGTTGGCAGAAGTGCTCCTGGTGAGGACATGCACAGCCAACAGAAGGAGGATAAAGTGGACATGAACTACTGCAGTAATTACTGTGCTGACTGTAAGTCGACCTAACATAGATCGACTTACATTTGTAGTGTAGACATGTCCTACTGCTGTACGGAGTGAAAGTCCTGGTGTTTGCTTCCCCAGTTTCAGCATGGAGTTAAAGAGCTGGCAGTAGAGAGGGACTGAAGCCTGACTCCTCCCAGCTTACCACCACAGGAAAACCCATTCCTTCTGTTGCCTCCCCCTCAGACCAATTACAGGAGACCAGCACAAGTCAGGGAAGACTATTCCACAAGTGAACCTATTCCACAAGTGATCCACCAGCTTACCCACTCCCTACCATCACCCATCTCAATAAACAGTCTGCTACCACCAGTGGCAGCAGAGGCTGTAGGGTGATCTGCCTACCTACCACACTAGTGCTGCTGTGAGGAACAGCTATTAGGTGGGGGAGACATCCAAAGAAACCCTTCTTCAGTACTGGGCACAGAGAAGTTTGGTTGGCCAAGAGGAGTGAGAGAGATGACTCTGGTGTTTGGAGAGTGGAAGGATTGATGGATTTGGGAAAGGAAGAGCATGGGATTCAGTCAAGATAGGATACCTTTCTAGAAGATATGCTTTAGTCAAATAAATGTTATTGGTTGTATGGGCTGTATTACACAGGACATTAGAACAGATAATCGAATGGTGCCTTCTGGCTTTAAATTTTATGCTGAAAGCTCACAGAGTAGGGGAGACTATTTAATTGTCACATGAGAAGATAACTGTGAATAATTTTAGCTGCATGCCACTTGGTGGGGCATGCTGCTTTGAATTAATGTTAGCAGTAGTTCATGGATACTTTGGCTTATGACATATCACTTTGATAAAAAATAATGTAATCTTATAGCAAATCTGGCAAAAAGTTAAGTGATGTTACCAGAGTCATGAAACCCTAATCGATGAAAGCATCATGACTTCTGTACTTGCAGAGAACTATAGAATTACATTATTTTAATATTAATCCTCAACTATCATGGAAAGAAATGATTTAAGGACATAATTTCTTCTTAGGAAGGTTCCTCCTCACAATATTAGATTGTTCCATGAATTTAAAAATCAGTTTAAATGTAAAAACTCAGCTAGATTGTGAGAGATTTTTCCATTACAACTAGCTGACAGATTTTGCTGATCTCAATGCTACAACTTATTGCAGTTCAAGCTTTATAATTGCATTGCGTAAGTTAGATAATGTAATTGCTATATTTTGGCTGCAGTGCTTCCTTGACGAAGTTTGGTTAAAGAACACTCTCCATAATGCATAGGGGAAAAAACATCACTGTAGGAACAGGCTTCCAGCCATTTAAAACAGATGTAAAATCTGTAATGGCATTTTATATCTCCGTGGCTCTTTGTCTTGAGCAAATGTAAACAGTTAATATCATTATGCAGTTTGCTATCCGCTAGACCCTTTAATATTTGTTTGTAATCCTATCTAATGGACCTCTTGGTAGACACCCAGAGCAGATTAAATTAAATTAAGAAGTTTTGTATTAAAGCTATCTTCTGCAAAAGGAAGATAATTCAATTGTGCAAAGAAAATGTCTTCATTTTTACATACCATAAACTTATAAATAACTTGGACATCTAACCCATAATTTCCATAGTAAAAGTTACGACAATGATACGTTTGTTGAACGCTAGGAGGGAATTACAGCTGTTTGGAAAACTGACATAGAATCGTATTATGTAAGTGATTCTAATTAATGGCCCAAAACACGACGTGTCTACAACCACGAGCTATTCAAAATGTGTACAGTCCATCTTTACATTTTTCTACAGCCTCTAATTCCTACAGTAAGCTTGGTGTAAACTTTAACTTTACAGATAGCAGCTCTCCTGTTTCTGTGATAACTACTAAGGGTGTGTGGTCAGGTTTTATTCCCCACTGATGCAGGTTTCTGGGGGGATATTGGGGTGGCCCAATCCATGATGTGATCTGATTATTGGATGGAGTGCTCTTCTTGATGAACTTTAAAGACTAACAAGATGGTTTATTAGATGATGAGCGTTCGTGGGCCAGACCCACTTCCTCAGATCAAATAGTTTATTTTGAAAGAAATAAATAATAAATAACAATTTGATCTGAGGAAGTGGGTCTGGCCCACGAACGCTCATCATCTAATAAACCATCTTGTTAGTCTTTAAAGTGCTACATAGTCCTGTATTTTGCTTCAGCTACACCAGACTAACACGGCTACATTTCTATTACTATTCTTTTTGATGAAGGCAGTTTTAAGCGTGTGAAGCTGTGTATCCCAGACTTTTGCCTTGGAGCACATTCTGTGGTGTCTAAGTGCCTCCAACACCATCTACTATAAAGAACTCAAGAAAGACCCCATATCACAGTTCACCTAAGAATTGAAGAATACCATCAAATCCTTCCCCAAAAAACTCAAAGAAAAACTCTATCACCTCATCCCAGGGGTGGCGAACCCATTTAACAAAGAGAGCCGAAACAGTGGAAAAAATGCAAAGAGCTGCACCAGAAAAAAGGCAACAACAACAAAAAAAAGCCCTCCTTCCGTCCCTTCTCCCTCCCCCCTCCCCCCAATTGTCAAGGGGAAAAAAAGGAGACTGCCCCTTTAAGAAACAAGCTTAGGCTTTTTGGCCATATCAGTCTCCCATTGATGGCTGCTATCTTAGGCGCCATTTTGAATCGCCGCCCCAGTGAGCATAGGGAGGCCGGGGGCTATTGGAGGGGCGTTCAGGAGCAGTTTCACAAGCCGCACTTTTGGGGGAGAAGAGCCGCGTGTGGCTTGCGAGCCATGGATTGGCCACCTCTGTTGTATTTGCTCTCCACAACATAAACATGGGAACCTAGACAGACTCACATAATACCTGGCCATACTTCTTTCTAAAGGATCATCAGAACTCACAGAAACGGTCCTTCAACCACTCAGCACACAAAAGCTGAGTTTCCTGCCCAGGTGATCTTATTAATGACCCTTTGTAAGTGCATAGCCACTATCATTTCAGTGACCTTACTTCCCTCTCAGGTGGGACAGCATGCTGTTTTTCCTTGCTAGCTCTTACAGTTCTTGGATTCCTGATGCTGTCAAAATGCATCCTTGATTTGTTTAGCAGTCAATAGCTTTCATTCCAACAATGGTTTCCACTATTTGAAAGATATATTTTTACAAGATTTTTCCCTATTTTGTATCTATTAATCTTAGGCCTTCCATGAAATGTTAGAGAAGCAGAGACAGACACTGCATGATCTTGAAGAGGAGGATGACTTCCGAAGCACTGAGGCCATTGCAGAGCTCTATCAGGTGACCTGTTGATTTCTGCTAGTGTCTGCAAAAAATCTGAAAATCTGCAGTCCAGTTATAAAGACTTCAGACATAGAAATGTCAGAGATTTATCAGTTATTAGATACTGTGCAGCATTCAAAAGACTAGGTTAGTACACTAATAGACTTGGGATTTAGTCTTTCCCCTTGGGAGACCTGGATGTCACAACTGAAAATGAATTTGGGCTCCTCCTGCTCTGTGGTGAATGTGGAATTCCTATCACTAGATGAAGAACACACGAGACTTATTCTCTGAGCACAAGTTAATTCTTAGTAATGTAAGGGAGAATGTTCTTTTGTAGACTTTCAGAATTTTTCCTGTCTTAAGTAACCACACACTTGGATGTTTCAACTAGAAAAGGTTACTTGCACAATCTCCAAGGGATAATTAGAACTAGGAAACATTGTTAACCACATGCCTACCCTGCCACTTTACCTTGGTTTGCATCCTGTTTGCAGAGTCCATCAAATGAGACAGCTGCTCATGTCATAGTGGACCACCTTGCTACAGCAACCTACCACCTTGTAACCTGCTACCCTTCTTTTGGCTTGCAGTATTCAGCTAAGAGTATAGCCAAGTGGTGAATGCATCAGCCAGGGGGCCCTGTGATCATACCAGCAAAAATATAAGACAGAAAAGGGAAAATGTATCTGGTGCCTTAATACTTTGTACAAAGTGTTAGGGTGACCCCAACCATAAAACGATAGGGAAATTAGGTGAGGGTTCTTGATTTAATGATAGAGTTTTTGTACTGAGTTAATGTATTACATTAGATTATTGACAGTGTTGGTTCAAACACATTTAAATTAATATTTTGATTTGTAATATTTTGCATGTTTTGGTCTTACTAATTGGAAATTGTTGCTACTGGTGAAGTTTTCATGCTTTGTTATCTTATGTGCATGTGCGAGGAAAATTAATGCTATCTAATTGGAGGGTTTCTTTGTTTTTTATTATGTGCAGTTATGGCTAGAAAAGCTGTAATGATTCCTTCTCACCCAGCAGTCTTGCTCTCTCTGCATACTCATATCTGCTTATTTTTAATAACAAAAATAAGTTTTTATTATTTTTTTTAATTGTTAGCAATTCTGATTCTACACTGCTATAGGTGAGTGAGCTGGTTTCTGCTCTGACATGCATCATCCTTAGAATTGTTATTAAAGGCTTTGTGTTTATATCTGTTAAAACTACAATACATTTTTTTAGTTTTACTGCTATAACCTCCATTATGGACACACTTATTCTGGTGGGAGAGGGGTTTTTTGGGGGTGAGTGTTCTAAATATGGGGTTAAACCCCTTAAACTAAACTGAAAAAGGCCACTCTTACACCAGAACAATTGTGTCTATGCAAGGGTTATATCAGTATAATTGTATTGAAGATAAGTTCCACATGCAGGCAAAATTCTGTTGTTTTCAGTTATATTTGTGCAAACCCACTGAAAACAATCTTGCCAATCACTTTTTGGCATAAAACAACACGGATTCAATATGGCAGAGTACCCCTGCTGTTTGGATTCTTCTTGTCTTTTGGGCAGGCAGAAGTGACCTAGGCCTGCAGAGACCACTTTAGCCATTAGGCTGGAGGAGCCACTGAGTAACTTTGCTGCTGCACCACAGAATGGGGTGGAGGGATCTTTCAGTGTTCCCAGTATCCAGTCTGGTTATTAGGGTTTTGCAAAGGTCTCCCAAATGCTCAATAAAACAACCTTTTGGGTGGTGGAAACTCCTTCTCCAAGCGGGGGAGGATAGAGAAGAAACACTGCATGGAGACCTGCATGGACAGTCATTGATTCTTCCCTCACCCTCATCCCCTCTGAGAGTGTTTTCATAGAAAGAGATGTTCTGGACCAAATATGCTCATGTCTAGGGATCTGACATCACTAGTAATTGCATATTGAAAGTTGTTCATTTGTCCCTATAATAACGTTGCAAGTGTTGTCGCAATTATTTTAGATCATTTTACCTTCTTAAAAATTATTGTATAGTTTGTTAAAAATGGGCAAAAACCAGCATTGGAGGAAGGAAGATGGTGCCAGAACTCTTACGTATGATTCTTGTATCTATGATCAATAGTTTGTATTCCTGATTATCTGAGGGTACAACATGATACATTTGAGACCCAACTTACTAAAATGCTGAAGACTCAAAACCAAATGAAGTTAATAAGGGCTGTGGCCTGAATAGATAAAGTGCTGTAACTACACTAACTATTCTGAAAAACCAGATGCAGGGGACACTGATTAGTGGATACTTTGGTCTTAATCTCTGTGCCTTAATTTCCAATCGGTAATAATACACACCCTCTCACTGGCCTGTTGTGATGATAAACTCACTAATGTTTCTGAAACACAGAAAAGATCTGGTGCTGAGGTCCATAAAAGAGCCATGAGAAAATTAAATAATTCTGCACAATTTGGACAGAATGCAGCAGCTAAGACATGGAGCCCCATGTTGAATGCTGTGATTCCAAACAAATATGGTGGGATGACACTGTTGGGTACTGGTATATGGATTCTAGGTGTCCACTTCAGATCCAGGCTGGTGACTGCTGATTGCTGCAAGATAATGTATTGCATACAGGATGAACTGGTTCTCAGTTCATAGAGGTCCACGTCACAAAATCATATATCTGACACTAGTCAGAATTTTACACCCACCCCATCTTCTTACTGCAGCCAAAGATCAAATGAGTATGAAGACTGAATTCCCCTCTCAGTCAGAAGGTATTTCCTTGGATTGATGCGCGTAGACAGATTAAAGAAAGGAAGTTTACAGTATATTTGTCTGTGTGTTTAACATAGATTTTAGATATTTCCACCATGACACAAGTGTGTGCAGAATCAGCTAGAGTTCAAAGGCTAAGAATTATAAAGATTATGGCACAACCCATACCTCCAATCTTGGGTCCATTACTAGCCATTTGCACTAGTAGCGCTAGCCTGTCTTTCAACAAAGTCTGAACCAAACTATTGTCTTACTGCTAATCTCTTATTTTATATACTGGAAGTGGGTTCCCAGCCTGCCCTGC